CCAAGATCTAGGTGCAAAAAATACACTCTTCCTCTGAATACATTTCTATACTCAGAACGTTGGAACTTAGAGAACACCCTTGAGCCCTCCTCATCTGTAAAAGGAAGGGGAGGGTTGGACCCACCTGGAGCAGGTGCTCAGAGGTGATGGCATCCGTGGTTCAGATGCAGCCCGTAGCCCTATCTGATGTGCCCACGCCTCGGACCTCCCCCAAGAGAGCTGAGAGCCCAGAACCCATAGACTTGGGTACTTACTGTACTTGTGTATTTTGAGGAAAATAACTTGTTTAGAGGTCGTATGTCATGGCTTTCTCATGGATTTTCTTTAGGACAAACCAGAAAACATTTACTGGCGATTGATTTGACATTTTTGGGCTGAGCTCTTTGGTTGGGGTGTTTTTACGTTTGCATCAGTATTAAAGAATCCACAGTGCGTTGCTCCCCTTTGTAAGGTGTGGAGATGTTTCTCTGCTTGGAGCGTGGAGGCTGGAATAAGAACGCACAGTGCTGTTCACCCCTGTTTTGTGTCAGCGTCTGCAAAGATGAAGCATAGAAATGACTTGTATTAAAAAAGATGTTTTGTCTGCTCGCTGTCTACACGTGTGTTTCCTGGCCTTTGCACACACAGATCTTCTGGGCCAGGTAGCCTGGCCGGGGCATCCTGCAGGCCTGTGGGATGCAGAGCAGCATCCCTGCCTCCAGGTGTGACATCGGGAGTGTCTCCAGCCACTGCTTCCTGGGGGAGTAGAGCCTGCACTAGAATAAGACAGGCAGAACCTTTCAACCCCAGTACAGGAGGTTACTGACTCTCTCATGTGATCCATATGTGAACAATTTTCTAGAGAAGGCCAGCGCTTGGTCCATGTTGCTGAGGGCCTGGGGGGTGCTGCCATCACTGGGCGCGGGTGCCCTTGGCGTCAGGGCCTTGGCTCTGCCACCAGGACCTTGCATGGTCTTCATTTCCAGCCCTGACCTGCTTCCTCCTCGTCTGTCAAGACCCAGCTGTTACATCTTCTGATGCTGTTCTAGAAGCTGCCTTCCTCCTCATGTGGAATGAGGCATCTACCATAGTCACCCTGCCTGTGAGCACCTCAGTCCAGCAGTCGCTCGTCTGGTTCATGTTAGATTGTTGGTGACAGCAGGCAGTGCATGCCTGAGTCAGCTTATGGTCGACTTTCTTCGGACCTCAGGCTGAGCTGATGGCCCAAGGGAGGCTGTTTGTGGGGAGCAGGGCCAGCTTACACTTGCTCTTAGACCTGTGCTGGGGGAGGGAACCTGCCCAGGTGGCACCTGGCCTTGCTACTATCCCTTCCTTGGAGCAGGAGGCCCCCATCCTTTGTGACAGCCTAGGGTCACTCTGTGAGGTGTCACACAGGACTTGGAGTGGGGGACAGGGGACAGCTCCCAGGCAGGACTAGGGGTAGGGAATGGGACATCTCCCAGGTAGAACTCAGGGTGGAGAACAGGGGACAGCTCCTAGGCAGGACTCAGGGTGGGGAACGGGACATCTCCCAGGCAGGACTCAGGATGGGGAACAGGGGACAGCTCCTAGGCAGGACTCAGGGTAGGGAACAGGATATCTCCCAGGCAGGACTCGGGGTGAGGAACAGGGACAGCTCCCAGGCAGGACTCAGGGTGGGGGACAGGGGAGAGCTCCCAGGCAGGACTCGGGGTGGGGATCAGTGGGCAGCTCCCAGGCACGACTCAGGGTGGGGGGTGGGGGACAGGGCACAGGACTTGGGGTGGGGGACAGGGGACAGCTCCCAGGCAGGACAGGAGCAACTCTTCAAAGACAGAGGCTGGTGGGCGGGGGAGGTGGAGGATTGGAAGAAACGTCTGTGTGTCTGGCCGTGTAGACCAGGCTGAAGGTAGACAGGAGGGTGTGGCCATGTTTCCTCTGTGCCGGCAGCTGAGTCGGGTCAGGGCCTGGTTGCTTTGGTGAGGGCAAAGGCTGATTGACTGCCACCGAAAGCCAAACCCAGCGGTTTCTGTACAAATTGACTAGCTGGTTCTGCAATTTGTATGGAAACCCTGGGAACCTCGAATAGAAATTTTGAAAGTGAACAAAGAGAACCCTTACTACCTGGTGTCAAGACCTGTCACAAAACTACAGTAGCCGCGGTAGTGTGATGTTGGTGTAAAGACAGATGCGCACCATCAGCATGGGAAACAAGAGTCCAGACTCTCAAACATCTCGTCAGTTACCCACAACAGTGCCTGGGAGCTGAACGAGGAGCTCTGGCCTTTGAGCAGTGGTGCTGAATGCAAATGCACCGTCGTGCCTCTGGGGTGGGCAGAATGACCCCTCCCCACTGCTGATGGGAGATGTGACGGTGGAGAAGGGAACCAGAGACAGCACTCACAAATACCCCACCCACTGTCTTCATCAGCTTTGAGGTGGCTGAGGACCACAGTGGCCAGGAGAGGCTGGAAGAGACAGGGACACAGGTTCTCTCCAGAGGTTGCAGGAGGGCCAGCTCTGCTGCAGCTGGTTTTCAGCCCAGCAAGACCCGATTCAGACTCCAGCCTCCAGAAGCAAGAGATCACGAGTGTCCAGCATTGTGCGCTGCTGCAGGAGGCACGTCACAGCAGCACCAGCATGCCTTCGGGGTCCACACGCAAGGAAGCATGCCTCAGCCTGTATCTTACCCATGTTAAAAATAACTTAGAAATAGATTACACACCTGAGCGTAAGGTAAATTCATACGGCTCTGAGAAAAGAATCTTAATGACTGGGTAAGACAAAGCTTTCTTAATAACAATACCAAAAATGGTGATGAATTGCACTTGAACAACGTTAAAAACTGTTGGTCTTTAAAAAACACTTCAGAATTGAAAGGTAGACGCCACATTGGAGAAACCCTTTGCAGAACACACACTCTGCAGGCATTTGGCAGCTGTTCATCTGTATGTGTGGAGCCCCTGTGGAGTTTCCTGGGCACCTCCGTGGGTCATTGGTCAGTCATGACTTTGAGTCTTTCTGGATTTCTCTGTTCCATGAGTTTATGATGTATGCCTGATAAGTTCTGAAGTCAGGTAGTGAAAGTTCTCTTTGTTAGTTTTCAAAATGGAGATTCTAGGTTTCCTGAATTTCCATGTAAATTTCAGAACCAACTTGTCAATTTCTAACCAAAAAACACCTGTTTATTGGTTAGGCTAGAAACACCATAGATCGTTCTTCATGCTAACGTGTTTAGGGGAGATTGGCAAAATCCTCCTAGTTCATTTTGAGGATTCCTGAAAAAATATTTCCCAAGCCATAAGTTTTAGTTTAAAAATGAGCAAAGCGAATAAATACGAACTGCCTGTTAGCTGTGCTCACAGAGGAGAGGGCACAGCAGGGGGCACCGGGCCCTTCCCGCCCTGGTTCCTCCGTAGGTGATACTTGATCACAAAACCTTGCCAAATGAGCTGGTTTACTTTGTGTTTCTTAACACCTGCGGCAGCATTGCTTGTTGAGCCGGAAGTCCTCTGTCAAGTTACAGAGACCCATGAATCTTCAGACCTGAGCTGCACCTGCAGCCTTGGGGCAGGAGCCTCGGGTGCTGTCACGGGTGGGCCATTTCCTCTCTTCCCCTTGCACGAGTGGAACGAGGAGCCCGCAGCGTGCTGGTGTGTGTGCTGCGTCCAGCAGGAGCTATGCAGGGTCTCCTTGCAGAAGCTGATTGCAAAGTGATGTCTGCTGGAGACTGGGGAAGCCTGTTCGAGGGGCCACGGCTCCCAAGTGGGGTTGCTGCTGGGACTGGGGCAGAAATGCCTGAGGAAAGGATGTGGGGCCATTGAGAGGACTGGGTTTGGGTGCTGGCGGTGGGGCCGCAGAGCCCTGTGGGTGGGCGGAAACAGCTCAGCCGGGAGTGGCTGAGCGCCAGGTGTCCGAAGGAGCCTGGATGTAAAGGCCCCAAGTGCAACTATGATGGTGGTGGGGACGCAGACTCCTGGGTGGGGATGGCCCCCGCAGCCTCAGCAAGCAGGGAGCAGGCGTCCCTGAGTCCTGTGCAGCCTGGTGGTGTCTTTGACCAGGTGTGGTGGCCGGGAGAGAGGATGGATTTTGGAATATCTGTGTATATACGTGACGAGATATCTTGGGGATGGGGCCCAAGTCTAAATGCAGAATTCATTTATGTTGAATGTCACTGTGTACACACAGCTTGAAGGTAATTTTGCACGGCCCTTGTGGCGGTTTCAGGCATGAAACGCAGCTTTGCTGCCTACCACACGGAGTCAGGAGTGGAATCTCCCCCGTGGCCTTGTCTCCATGCCCAGAAGGTTTCGGATTTAGGATATTTGGATTGGGAAAGCTCAGCCTGAACGTAAAAATTTAGATTCTTTTTTTAATGTAATTTAAAATTTCCCTGGTAATTTTCATTTTAAAAAATTTAGATTCTTACAATCGGTAAGAAGTGGTTGTTTTTAAAAAATATTTCCGAGAATTGAGGATTTACAGAATAGAGTTCTCAATAAAGTTCTCTTTGTAATTTTTTTAAATGACCCTCTCTGAGTTTCCGCCTGGGGTGCTGGTGGGAGGCTCTGTGAGCTTGTGGGGGCCAGGGAGTGTCATGGCTCCTGTGGTTGCTGAGCACACAGGAGGCGCGGGGGCAGGGCCGCCTTGTCCTGATCACTGTGCAGGGTCAGGATTAGGGTTCCAGGCCCAGAACCAGAACCCAGGGCAGCTCAGATTCTAGATGGTCGCTGGCAGCCCACTCCATCCCGAGGGTGGAGGGTGCGCTGTGTCTCCTCAGCACCGTTCCTCCTCCAGGATGATCTGCACACGCCCATCCTGTTCCCTCCCCAGGAAGAGCTCCCTTCCGCTCCCCTCCAGGATGCAGGCTACAGACACTGCCCCTGCCCCTCCGAGTCTCCCTGTACAGCCCGCTGAGGCACCATGGTCATGGAGGATGGGGCTCTGCCTTGTTCCCGCCTGCAGCCTGACCCTCATGCCCCCTTGCCCTCTCCATGACATGGCGGGGGGTATTCTGCATGCTCGGGGCCTGGAGTCCCAGTGGGCCGTGGGCCTGGAAAGGTCCTGTTGATGTATGTAGCTTGCCATGGGGGGTGCGGGGCTGCGAGCATCTAGGGGGTTGAACGCTGGGCAGCCTCTTGTCGGCAGGGTGTGGTTGTCAGAGCATCCTGGCCCGGAGCCGGGCATGGGGCTGCGAGCACCTAGGGGCGGGCGCTGAGTGGTGGGCTGCCTCGTGTCCACGGGGTGGGGTGCGGGCGTGGGGTCTGCGAGCACCTAGGGACAGGCACTGACTACTGGGCAGCCTCTGGTCTCGTAGCCTTCAGATTTTAGCACTTCCCAAGGCTTCTGATGACCACTGTTTGGACAAATAAAACAGTGTGTGTTTATATAAAACTAGGAATATTATAGTAGTTCTGTCAGCAAAATGTAGTTGCATCAGCTTCTTTCTAGATGGGAATTATTATGGGAGGTAATTTATTATTTTTTGATATTCTACCAAATTGTACCTTGTTGTATTGAATTAACCAAGTTTTAGATTGTATGGATTCTCTATCAGAAATGTCTAGAATCACACATAAATAGAGACAGCTTTCTGTTATCCCTGGGTCTCCTCACTGGACCAGATAGCCTCAGGTTTCCAGTCATTCCACGGGCAGCACAGGGTTGGTGTGGTGTGGTAGGGGTTGGTTTTTCATGAGCGAGACTTGTAGGTGGAAAGTTCTTGCATTTTATAGACAAAGAAATGCCCTCAAGAGTGATGTAACCTGCCTGAAAAGTTATGCAAGAGTTAGTATAGAATTGGTACAACACTTAGATTTTAAAATTCTCACTCGGGCTCTTCTGATGAACCAAGAGATTTAAAAATGTTCTTCCATTTGTGTTTTGTAGAGCGGTTCTGGTGAGATTAGAAGGATGTAGCCACCCAGTTGTCATGAAAGGCCTGTGTGCTGAATGTGGCCAAGACCTCACCCAGTAAGTATCCGGAAGAGTGAGACCACTGCCTGCCGGAGCTCGAGGTGGTGGCCTCTGAGGGGTCCGGGAAGCAGTGCTGGGGACACAGTGAGGGCTGCTGGTTTCCTGGCGGCAGGTGCAGACATCTCCCTTGGGCCCCACCCAAGTCCCACTCAGTGGGTTTCCTTAGGAGGCGGTTCTTCCTGTTCCATTGCGTAACTTCCTGTTCTGTTCTGTCACTCCAGCCTCAGGCTGTTCTCAGGTGTGGGAAGCGGGGGCTGGAGGGCTGAGACCTGTTTTCTCCTGACTGTGAGGATGCTGATAGCTGAGTGTCTGGAGCAGCCCCTCCCTCAGGGCAGCCTGTGCTGCTCCTCCCCGAGTGCCCCCACCTCTAATGCCAAGTGGTTTCTCGGATTTATCACTTGTGCAGTGGGAGGCGCGGCAGCTTCGTTTTCTGCATTTTCACGTTTGAGGGCCTCTTCCTCATTCTGTGCGACTTTGCAGTTTGTTTTCATGAAGAACTGGCTCTGAGTGCGTGAGTGGCCACGAGCTCAGTGTTTTCACCAGGTTTCCTGTCTGTCTTTAAACAGTGGAGAATGTTTCCACAGTTGCTGACAGAATCCAGTTCTGCTCTGAGATAGCAGCATGTGCCCCTTAAGACATCAGTTGGAATCCCATCACTTAAAGCTCAGTGTGCCTCTGTGTGCGGTGACTCAGCTGAAAGCCCTGAACCTGTCCTTCACTCACAGGTTGCAGAGTAAGAACGGGAAGCAGCAGGTGCCGCTGTCCACGGCCACCGTGTCCATGGTGCACAGCGTGCCGGAGTTGATGGTGAGCTCCGAGGTGAGCTGGGCGTCTGCGGCTGCTGTTCCGAGGAGGGCGGCTGCAGAGAGCACGGACTTGCGGTTGTGGTCGTTGCTGGAACAGCCCCTCGTCACAGAGGTGACTTACGGGGGTGCTGCCTTCCTGAGACAGGGGTGGCCGCCCTCGATCCTACACAGACAAGTCTGCCCTCAAAAGCAACTCGGGACCCCTCGGCTGTGCGACCTGCATGTCGGGACCTCTGGGTGCTGCTGCTGCAGCTCTGTACAGCCAGGCTCAGCCTGGGGTCCCTTGAGCCAAGTCCTAAGGGACAAGACAGCTGCTGGTGGAGCTCAGGAGGTGGCCACACCATCAAGGCGTGTGCCGGACAAGGCGGAAGGGCAAAGTGTCTGTCAGGGCAGATGCTGGCAAGGGGTCGGTGGTGGGGAGGGTGGTACTTTATTGTCTTCCAGGAGCTGCTGCTGCTGGTGCCAGTAGGAAGCTGGCTTGGGAGAGTGGGCGCATGCAGTGGGGTTTGGGGGGTCCCAGGGGTGTTTGCCTTGTAGCTGACAGGAGAGCCCACGGGAGTTGTGGGGAGGAGAGAATGGGCAGGTGTTTGTGCGCCCAGTTGACAGTGAGATGGGTTTTTATCTTTGAGTGTCTACGCCTCATTTATGTATTTCAGGAGTTGCTGGGGGCACTGTTGGTCAGCGGCTCTGGGCATCTCCTGTGCTCAGGGTTGGACCTGTGCTTGAGGCAGACGCCATCTCCCCGACCTCGCTTCACCCTGTGGGTGAAAATGCTCTGGTAGCCAAGAAAAACTAGTTTGTGATTTTACAGACTTTCAGGGCTGCACAGTTTTGTAAATAGGTAAAACACTTTCCAGTGTTATGATTTTAGTAAATTCGTGCTTTTAAATGGTAGACACCGATTTTAATCTTTTTATGGGAAAAACAAAATGCCAGATACATGATTCTGGGTTTTCTGAATTACCAAACTTTAGACAAATGTAAACGTGTGTGCATCAACCAAAGTTGGCAAGTTTGGGGTGAAGGGAGGAGAAAGTACCCCATCTCCTCCATAACAGGGTACCTGCCGGCACCTTTGTGCGTTTCCTTTCAGGGACGGCCATGGGAGGAGGTTCTTCCTGAACAGGACCGGGATTTTGTTTGTGAAGAGTGAGGGCCAGTTGCAGTGACAAGGACAGCGTGACGCATCTGGAGCGTTGCATCCCGTGTGCTGCACCCCATGCTGGGCTTCTGATGCTGGGCGGCTGGGCCCTTGTTAGGAGCTCTGCTCTGGGCCTGGCATGGAGGGACACCCCCGATACGCCATTGCCAGGCCCCAGGTCTCTTCGAGACACAGGAATAGGCTGATTGTGGGGGGTTCTGAATGCAGCGCCCTCACCAGTCTCTGCTGCCCAGCCTGGGCTGCCCAGCGTCTTCCTCCTCCCAGCCAGCTGACTTGGTTTCTTTCTTAATTTTGCAGCTCACATTCATTGAGTGGTCCATAGCGTTGAATCCAACTTTTTTTTTTGAGACGGAGTCTTCCTGTGTCACCCAGGCTGGTGTACAGTGCTGTGATCTTGGGTCACTGCAACCTCCATCTCCCGGTTCAAGTGATTCTTCTGCCTCAGCCTCCTGAGTAGCTGGGACTAAAGGCATATGCCACCATAACTGGCTAATGTTTTGGGGGGTTTTTTGTTGTTTTGGGGGGTTTTTTTGTATTTTTAGTAGAGATGGGATTTCATCATATTGGCCAGGCTGGTCTTCAACTCCTGACCTCGTGATCCACCGGCCTCGGCCTCCCAAAGTGCTGGGATTACAGGCGTGAGCCACCGCACCCGGGCTCAATCCAACTTTTATGGAAACAGCCAGTTTCTCTTCCCCTCCATTTTCATTGGCTCATGTGTTTACCTGAATTATAAAATGATGGTCACAAGTGAGGCTGCCATGACCAGGTTGGTGACCCAGCACAGGCCGTGGGGAGTGCTAGGGTCCGGAGAGGAACATGTCGGTATCGTTTTGTGTTTCTTTTTTTTTTGGAAGACGGAGTTTCGCTCTTGTTACCCAGGCTGGAGTGCAATGGCGCGATCTCGGCTCACCGCAACCTCCGCCTCCTGGGTTCAAGCAATTCTCCTGCCTCAGCCTCCTGAGTAGCTGGGACTAAAGGCATATGCCACCATAACTGGCTAATGTTTTGGGGGGTTTTTTGTTGTTTTGGGGGGTTTTTTTGTATTTTTAGTGGAGACGGGGTTTCACCATGTTGACCAGGATGGTCTCGATCTCTTGACCTCATGATCCACCCGCCTCGGCCTTCCAAAGTGCTGGGATTACAGGCGTGAGCCACCGCGCCCGGCCCTCGTTTTGTGTTTCTGATAAAATGGAGTTTACTTTGGATGCAAATGTGCTGACTTTGTCATTTCTTGTTTCTGTTTAATTGTAGCAAGCTGAACAGCTGGGAAGAGAAGACCAGCAGCGACTGCACCGAAACCGGAAACTTGTGCTCATGGTGGATTTGGACCAGACATTAATCCACACGACAGAGCAGCACTGCCAGCAGATGTCGAATAAAGTGAGTGTGGACAGCACCCTGCGGGACAGTGTCCCAGCCCCAGACTTTTGACTCAGATTCATGGGATCCTGTGAGCTCGATTCGTTCCCGTAGGTCAACCTGGGTCTGGAAAGCAGACCTGCTAGTTCTGGGCATGAGCCTTGTGTCTGTCGGGCTGTTGAGGAGCGTCTGAGCTCCTGGGCAGAAATCCTGATGCCCACTGTGTCTCCTGTGTGGTGGAGATGGCGTCCCACTTCCTGCCCTTTGTGTGAGGACAGGGTGGTGGGCGGTGTGAGGAGCGTCTGAGGGGGGAGCGTTCCCAGCCTGCGAGGACGGGGTGGTGGGGGTGTGGTGGGCGGTGTGAGGAGCGTCAGAAGGGGGAGCGTTCCCAGCCTGCGAGGACGGGGTGGTGGGGGGTGGTGGGCGGTGTGAGGAGCATCGGAAGAGGGAGCGTTCCCAGCCTGCGAGGACGGGGTGGTGGGGGGTGTGGGTGGGCGGTGTGAGGAGCGTCGGAAGAGGGAGTGTTCCCAGCCTGCGAGGACGGGGTGGTGGGGGGTGTGGGTGGTGTGAGGAGCGTCTGAGCGGGGAGTGGGATGTTGAGGGCAAGTGGATGCCTGGGTTTGTTCGTGGGGGAACTGGACTGGAGGAAAAGGCTGGGAGGTGGCCAGCATGTGTTTTCCGGGGGAACCCTATTTAGTGCATAGGAAATCCTTGCCAAGCTGTGTCCTCAGGATGAAGCCAGAGAAGCTGAATTCTAGACCAAAGGCTTTGTAATGCCTGTGTCAGAGGCTTTGTCAGCCTGGACAGTCGCCAACAGGGAGGCCCTCACCAACACTGAATTATTTTTTGATGTTTGCTGTTAGACAGGTAGTATGTGGACTCTGGCGCTTGGTTTGAGATTTTAGAGGCCCATCAGTTCTGACCTTGCCAGTTCCTGAGGGTTCCTGGGCATCTTGCAAGTCCCGAAGGCAACCACTCAGCAGGCCAGAGGGTCACCACAGAGCCGGGCGTCCTCCACGGCCGAATGCCAGGGCCTGGGACCAGCAGCCGGGACAGATGGATGCAGTCGCGCATAAGTCAGGCTTGTGACGAGCTTCATCTGGAAGAAGTTTGGTTGAGATTGGCCTAGTTAGTCAGATGGTCAGGGTGATCTGCGTGGAACCCTTAGGTGACATAAACTTCCGTATCTTACACACTGTTTGCAGAACGGAGGTAATTGAGTAACTGCACAGGAGTTTCCTTTAGGGCCCGAATTCAGGCCTTTACCCACAAAACAGTTGATATTTTTGGCTGTGTTAGTCATTTTTGTATATCATGGCATCTTAAACAGGAATGTTTTCTTTTTTGCAGTAGAAACTGACTGGATATTTTCAGATTGGTTCATTCATACCAACTACTCTACTCACTAAGGGTTTTTGGGTTTTTTATGCCTATTTTGTGACAAACTAGGTATTTTGAAGGATGTAAGGACTTTATGAAAATACATCTTGCACATACGTACATTCATAAATTGGTCTGGCTGTTACTTGCTTTTGTTGTGCCTTTGAAGTTGGACGTTTAGTGAGTTTTATAGGCACACCTTATTTTATGCTTCACGGATACTGTGTTTTCCCAGAGAGGAGGTTTGGGGGAACCCTTTGTTGAGCACATCTACAGGCGCCATTTTCCAATGGCATGTGCCCACCAAGTGCTGTGTCATGTTTTAGAAATTCCCGTGGTACTTCAGGCTCCTCTTTTGTGTTCTGTCTGTTACAGGGGTCAGTGGTCCGTGATCTTTGAAGTCACTGCTGTAATAGTTTTTTCATTAGTGTTCTCCCTGTTACAGGGATTTATGATCAGCGATCTTCAAGGTCAGTGTTAAAATAATTTTTTCATTAATGTTCTCCCTGTTACAGGGATTGATGATCAGCAGTCTTCGAGATCACTGTTGTAATAGGTTTTTCATTAGTGTTCTCCCTGTTACAGGGATTGGTGATCAGCGATCTTTGAGGTCACTGTTGTAATTGTTTTGGGGTGCCACGAACCACGCCCACATAAGATGGCAAACCTGATGGATAGCTGTGTGTTTTCTGACTGCTCCACCAGCCGCCCATTCCTTGTCTCTCTGTTCCCATGCCCAGGCCTCCCTATTCCCTGAGGCATAGCAGTATTGAAATTAGGCCAAAGTAATAACCCTACAGTGACCTTTAAGTCTTCAGGTGAAAGGAAGGCTCACTAATCTCTCACTTTCAATCAGACGGTGGGAGTGATTATGCTTGGTGAGGAAGGCGCACTGAAATCCAGGATAGGCTGCAGGCTGGGCCTCTGGCTCTAAACAGCCAAGGTGTGAATGCAAAGGAAACATTCTTGAAGCAAATTAAAAATCCTTCTTCAGTGAACACACACATGATTCGACATGAAACAAACAGCCTTGTTGCTTAGGAGAGAGTTGCCGTGGTCTGAGGAGAAGATCACACCAGCCACAACATTCCATTAAGCCACAGTCTCACCCAGAGCAAGGCCCTGACTCTCTTCTGTTCTGTGAAGGGTGAGCAAGGTGAGGACGCTGCAGAAGAAAAGTTGGACACCAGACCGGTTGGTTCATGAGATTTAGGGAAAGGCGCCATCTCTGTAACACAAAACCTAAGGTGGAGCAGCAGGTGCTGATGGAGAAGCTGCAGCAAGTTCTCCAGGAGATCTGGCTGAGATCATCGATGAAGGAGGCCGCGCTAAACAGCAGGTGTTCAGTGCAGACAGAAGAATATGCTGTGTAGGGCTTTCACACCTGGAGAGAAGTCAGTGCCTGGCCTCTTACTGTTTAAGAAGTGTTGGGAAACACTGCAAAGGAGAAAGGACTGACAGAGTACCTACATAAATTGGTTATGAGTAACATACAAACGAGGAACAACAAACCGCAGAAACCCGCAGGAGGCCTCTGAGGAGGAAGGCCTCTCCATCCTCATGTTCCAGTGCAGGGTGACCAAGGCTCTGTTACCATAAACATTGTGCTCAAGGACGTAAAACTCCTTCGTAGCACTGTGACGTAGCCAGACTTGTAGGCTCCTTGTAAGGCCTGTGTTCCGTCAGCTGCACGTAGATAACAGGCTAAAGATAACCACATGTTCTTGTTTTGTGAAACTCCCAAACCACCACTGTTATCAATTCGTAGGATGATAGAGCAGTATAGATCAAAGTGATTGTAATCAGTAAATAGTGTGGATAATCAGAGCCCGGGGTGATGGAGGGCTGGCTCCCTGCATTCTGGTGCACCAACATGTGGGTCTCATGGATTCCCTACAAAGAAGTATATCTCCTAAGGCCGTAGCTGCCTTAGAGAGCAATTTCTCTGGTGATTCTGGGGAAATCAAATAGAAAATCATTCTGGAAAGGATTCACCATTGCAGGTTCCACCAGGAAATTCGTGATTCATGGGAGGAGGTCAGTATATCAGCATCAACGAGGAGTTTGGAAGATGTTGATTCCAGCTTTCGTGGATGACTTTAGGAGGTTGAAGACCTCAGCGGAGGAAGGAGCTGCAGGTGGGTAGAAATGGCGAGGGAAATAGTGGAGCCTGAAGATGACAAATTGCAGCAACCTCAGGATGAAACGTGAACAGATGAGGAGTTGCTTCCTATGGATGAGCAAAGAAAGTAGTTTCTTGAAGTGGAATCTCCTCCTGGAGAAGATGCTGGGAACGTGGTTGAAATGACGACAGAGAATTTAGAGTGTTACATAAACTAGTTGGTGAAGCAGTGGCAGGGGGAGAAAGAATTGCCCCTAGTTTTGAAGTTTCTTCTCTGGGTAAAATGCTGTCAAACAGCATTGCATGCTGCAGAGAAGTCTTTTGTGAAAGGAGCAGTCGATTGATGGGACAGACTTCATTGTCATCTCATTTTATGAAATTATCACAGCTACCCCTGCCTTCAGCAACCACCCCTCTAATCAGTCAGCAGCTGTCAACATCAAAGTGAGACCCTGCACCAGCAAAAAGTATACGACTTGCTGAAGTCTCAGATGGTCATTAGCATTTTTAAATAATAAATAATGAATTATTATTTTTTTTTTAATTTTTGAGATGGAGACTTGCTCTGTCTCCCAGACTGGAGTGCAGTGGCGCCATCTCCATACGCTGCAGCCCCCACCTCCCAGGTTCAAGCAATTCTTGTGCCTCAGCCTCCCGAATAGCTGGGTACCACCACACCCAGCTTATGTTTGTATTTTTAGTAGAGACGGAGTTGTACCTTGTTGGCCAGGCTCGTCTTGAACTCCTCACCTCAAGTGATCCCCTTGCCTCGGCCTCCCAAAGTGCTGGGATTACAGGTGTGAGCTACTGCGCCCAGTCATTTTTAATAATAAAAATATTTTTAAATTAAGCTAGGTACATTGGTCTTTTAGACATAATGCTGTTGCACCTTTAATAAGCTACAGTGGAGTGTCAACATGAATTATATTCACTGGGAAACCACAAAATTCATGTGATTCTCAGTATCTCCAAGGTAGACCTGTTGGAGACAGTCGGAGTCTGGTTGTCATGTAGCTGTTTGTCAGTGTGTGGTCTGTAAGGCGAAGATGGCCTGATGTGGTGGGGAGGGAGGTCTAAGCATGAACAGCCCTCTGCCTCCCAGTACCTAGTAGTGTGCCATGCTAGACATCCAGAGGAGACCCTGGGGCTGGGGCCTGGCCCTACTTCTGGCCCCTCTGAGAGCAGTTTCAGGGATCGGGGAGCTGCTGGCCACACCTCCCAAAGCCTGGACAGCTGCTGGACTTGCTACTATTGAGTAGCAGGAAAGTTGTTAATAAAACTTCTCACTCCTAAATCTTTAACAGAATCACTTCTTCATGAGGTTGTAACTAACCTAGAGCTAGAAAAATTTAATTGGGCTCAAGTCACCTACCTTCTTCTAAAGCCATTGAGAGTAAACATTTTACTGAGGAAATTAGTGACAGGATTAAAAGGATCGAAGTTTAACTTCCTGAGGAAAGGAAACTGACTTGCATGTTGATCACATGTAAGCAGGTTGGTATTGCTCATTTCATCCGTCTACTAAATAGGATTTAGAATACTTATAGATTTTGTGTTGTATGTGTAAATGAAAGAAACTATCTGCAAATTACTTGTGCATTATACCAGGTTACCTGAATGTTTGATTTCCTTTATTCAATAACTCAGGATAACACTCTCAGCGCATGATGTGGGCGTCTGTTCAGAGCGACCTGTGTGGCTTTGCTGTTTAACACGGGTCCGCATTTGAAGAGACAAAGGCAGAAATGGCATCAGTGGCTATCTTGTAGTTATCATAGGTTGTTACTGTTGGTGTGGTCATCACGGGTGGTTATCTAAGGCGGTGGATGGTTACCGTGAGGAGTAAGTGTACTTGTCATCGGTAGTTATCCTGTAGTTATCATGGGTTGTTACTGTTGGTGTGGTCATCACGGGTGGTTATCCAAGGCGGTGGATGGTTACCGTGAGGAGTAAGTGTACTTGTCATTGGTGGTTATCGTGTAGTTACATGGGTGTTACTGTTGGCGTGGTTATCCTAGGGGCCTGGTTATTGGGGATGGTTATTGTGTAGCTATCATAGGTTGTTACTGGTGGCGTGGTTATCAGGGGTGGTAGTTGCTGGCATGTAGTTATCATGAGTAGTTAGTGTAGTTATCATCGAGCTAGCATACGGTGTTACTGTTAATGTGGTTGCCTGGGGTGGTATCCTGAACAGTTGTTGCATGTAGGTAGTTACCATAGTTACCATGGGCCGTCATTACCACACTCACTGCAGGCATTCCCACAGCAGAGAAGGCCACACTTGCTCACTTGTACTGCATGCACGGAAAGTACTTACACAGTGGGTTGTAAATGCCACTGGTAGCTCCTTGCACCAGTTGGGGTCGCATCCTTATTTGGAGGGGTGGGCATATGCGCATCCTCTGTCCCATGTGGAGGGGTGGGCATATGCGCATCCTCTGTCCCATGTGGAGGGGTAGGCACATGTGTGTCCTCTGTCCCATGTGGAGGGGTGGGTACACGCGTGTCCTCTGTCCCATGTGGAGGGGCGGGGTCTGTCCCATGTGCAGGTGGGTACACACGCATGTGTTCTGTCCCATGTGGAGAGGCGGGCATATGTGTGTTCTCTGTCCCATGTGGAGGGGTGGGCATATTCACGTCCTCTGTCCCATGTGGAGGGGTGGGCATATGCGCGTCCTCTGTGACATGTGGAGGGGTAGGCACACATGTGTCCTCTGTCCCATGTGGAGGGGTAGGCACACACGTGTCCTCTGTCCCATGTGGAGGGGTGAGTACACACGTGTCCTCTGTCCCATGTGGAGGGGTGAGTACACACGTGTCCTCTGTCCCATGTGGAAGGGCGGGGTCTGTCCCATGTGGGGGTGAGTACACACGCATGTGTTCTGTCACATGTGGGGAGGCGGGCATATGTGTGTTCTCTGTCCCATGTCGAGGGGTGGGAACACGTGTCTTCTGTCCCATGTGGAGGGGTGGGCACACACTCGCATGTCCTGTGTCCTATGTGGAGGGGAGGGCACATGTGTGTCTTCAGGACATCTGTCACGGGCACGTGGGTTTAGGGGGGCCCCCGGGGTCCTCAGCCTTTTCTCCTGAGCGTCCCGTCATTCTTTCAGGGCATCTTTCACTTCCAGCTGGGCCGGGGCGAGCCCATGCTGCACACGCGCCTGCGTCCTCACTGCAAGGACTTCCTGGAGAAGATCGCCAAGCTGTACGAGCTGCACGTCTTCACTTTTGGCAGCCGGCTATATGCGCACACCATCGCAGGTCAGTCAGCCACAGCCAAATTGAGCGGTGTGAACACTGGGTTTATTTCCTGTTTTCAGTGATGGTATTTTAAAGGTGAAGAAAGAAAGGTAAAGGATCTCTCCCAGGAGCTCAGTTTGAGTCTTAGGGTTGGCCGTTGTGCAGAGGGTAGTGAGGAAGGGAATTCTGCCCTCAGCGCTGGTTGAGGGTGGGGCTGCAGGTCACTCCGGCTGGGCGTGGTACTGAGTAAGCAAGCCACTTTGGAAGTCTGTGGGGACCACGTGGACACATTTTCTATGGACATACTCTGACAAATACCTTTTTAATTGGTTCATGAGGACTTAGGTCCAGGCTGCTTCTGTGCACTCACACTCGGTGCCTCATTGCACACAGGATGACCATCTCCTACCTAAATGTGGGCACCCTTACGGTTTGGTGTTTGCTTCTGTCTCCAGGGTGACAGCGTGAGCACCAGCCTGTGTGGGAGGAAGCAAGGGGACAATGCCATGGGACAGAGATCATCTGTCCCACGTGGATGTGGGCGCCGAGTGGCAGCGTAGGCATAGCTCCTCCTTGCTGGCTCCAGAGGTTGTTAAATTTAGCATTTTAAAATTCAAAGGTCTTTCTAGATTGATCTTAGTCGTTTGTTGTTGGTGGGAGATGAATTTTGAATCATCCTTTAATATTTAGTGCATTTGTAGGAAATTTTGATCATGACCTTTAATTCCTCTTGTAAAAAATATTTGACACATTCATCTGTAACATTATGGCTGTTGCTCTGTGGCTACCTGAAGTAGATGATGTGAAGACAGGTAATAGTGCACAAGGGTGATACTGGTGATGTCCTCAGGCCAGCAGAGAAATAACTCCTGCTATGATCTCATGGTTTTATACCCCCAAGTCCATATGTTAAAACCTAGTTTCCGAGGCGAGGGTGTTAGGAGGGGTGTGGGAGGTGGCGAGGTCATGAGGGCTCCCTGCTCTTTAATGGAATCAGGACCCTTACCCAGGTAGGTGGGGGGAGCCGTAGGGGGACACAGCAAGCTGACACCTGCTGACCTGCAGCCAAATCGCTGGCATCTTGGTCAGGCTCCTACATCCAGAACTGTGAGGAGGGACATCTGTTCCTGAGTCACCCACTCTACGGATTTTCTTTAGAGCAGCTCCAGGTGACTAAGCCACCTACTATGTGAAAACAGACCTCGAATCCTTCGCATGCTCCAGGCCGGGATTGTGCCCAGTGCCTGTAACTCACACAAGCCGCGTGTGAGAGGAGACCCCCTAATCCTTCGCGCGCTTCCAGCCCAGATTGTGCCTTCACATCCAGGGCCTGGGCACCTCCCAGGGGCCGACCTGTAAGTCACACAAACCACAGTGATGGTGACACCCACTCAAACTAGACAACGCGGGGTGGGGGGGGCGGGGAGAGACGTCACTTTTACAATTACAGATGTCAGGGAAAGACTAAAAACCAGAAAATTATTCCTCACAGTCACCATCTTCACGCCTGTCCCCTATTGTCTGTTTTTTTGGTGTATAGTTTTGCCTAGTTTGTCTTAATATATACACAAGTTTACGTGCTGTTCATTTCACATAAGATTTTATCACTAAGAATGTATCCATCACATGATTATAAATCTTCATCATTTCATGTAAGATTTTCTCCCTCCTCTGTGTACTGGGTCCTCCGGGTAAGTTCCTGAAACCAGGATTTGTCAGGAGAGGGAATGATTCCTGACCCCCAGGACTGTGTGGCCTGCTTCCTGGGAGGGCGGCAGGTTTGCCGAGTGCTCCCGTCTGCTGCACGGGTGCATGCCGGCAGGCACAGCCCGTTGACCTGCACGTCTGATTCCTGAAGACGGCGGTCCGGGCTGCGTCGGTGGTTTTTCTCCTCCTCTCCTGTCTTCTCATACGTTTGTTTAGTGGCCATGCAAGTGTTTCTTATTTGGGGCTTCCTTCTCCAGGTCTCTCTCTTTAAAGCTGGGGTTATCTAGGTTGGCTGTTTCACGGGTCTTGCTTATCCTTTTCTGAGAGGCCTCAGCGTTGGTTGGTCAGAGCACACAAGCCCCAGTGAGGAGGAACGTGGAAGGCTCGGGCCTGTTTAAATGCTTGGCTAGAGGGGGGTTGGGCTAAAAGCAAAGGGGTTCCACGTTTCAGCTGGGCCACGCCCCTGCTGCCCATCACATGGACACGCAGGGCATGGGACGCCGCAGTCTGATTCCACGCTAATGAGGCCTCATGTGGTGTTAAGAAGAAGCAGGTAAAGAGAATGTCATGTTTCTTTATCAGCCTGAAAGCGGGAGGGAGCCTGGTCGCTGCTTACAGATTCAGCAGAACTTTCATGCTGATGTCCACAGGCTGCCAAGCCACGTGGACAGTAGAGTAGTGACCTTCTCATGGTCACTTGTCTGCAGAAGGCCTCAAGCCTGGGTCCTGCTGCAGTGAGACCTGCTAGGTGTGCTGAGCATCACGGGGCCCTGTCTGCACTTTCTCGACACTTTAAGCTCTGCTTCCTACGTGCAAGTTCCAGTATTCCAGTGGGTCTGAGGGATGTTGGTGAAAACCAGACGAAGACTGGGAAACTGCAGACCAATCCCTATGAGCACAGATACAGAGATTCTCAGCAGTCCAGCAACATGGGAGGAGGGCTGCGTCCAGGCTGTGGTTCAGGAAGGCCAGCTTTGCTTTGACAGGGGAGCCTCGAGGCTCGTGGCTGGCGAGATCTGTAGCGATGACCTGGGTCAGCTTTTCAGCAAGTGAGAAAGTGAGGTCCAGCCTGAAGCCTGAGGTGGCTGCTGAGCTTCCGCTTTCGATGCTTTTCATTTTGAAAGTGACCATGTTCAGCTGTGCATGGTGGCTCATGCCTGTAATCCCAGCACTTTGGGAGGCCAAGGCCAGCAGATCATCTGAAGTCAGGAGTTTGAGATCAGTCTGGCCAACATGGTGAAACCCCTTCTCTACTAAAAATACAAAAAAAAATTAGCTAGGTGTGGTGGCTGGTGTCTGTAATTCCAGCTACTTGGGAGGCTAAGGCAGGAGAATCGCTTGAACTCAGGAGGCAAAGTTTGCAATGAGCCAAGATCACACCATTGCACTCTACCCTGGCCAACAGGAGTGAGATTCCATCTCAAAAAAAGAAAGTGACTGTGTTCGTAGCATGTGTGCTTTCAGTCTGGCTAGGATAGAAATGGTAAGTGTTTGGGATGCGTTTCATTTATCTTACAGTAGAGACTAATAATTCTATTAACAGACTCTAGATTTAGCAACCGCATGGCCTCAGTGTTCATCTAGAATTTACGTGTTCTTTATATAGGAAGAAACAGCATTATTTCTCCTTTAAGTCCAAGTATGGGTTTTTTTGTTTGTTTTTTTGATACAGAGTCTCGCTCTGTTGCCCAGGCTGGAGTGCAGCAGCGTGATCTCAACTCACTGCAGCCTCTGCCTCCCAGGTTCAAGCGATTCTCCTGCCCGAGCCTCCTGAGCTGCTGGGACTACAGGTGCATGCCACCACACCTGGCTGTTTTTTATATTTTTAGCAGATACGGGATTTCACCATGTTGGCTAGGATGGTCTTGATCTTCTGACCTCATGATCCGCCTGTCTTGGCCTCCCAAAGTGCTGGGATTACAAGCGTGAGCCACCACACCAAGCCTCAGTATCTTTTTGTTAATGAAATGCTAACAAACCAGTGATATCAAGGAACCAAACGTTCCTGACAGTGGTGCATTTGAAACATCTGGAGTTGGTGATACCTCCGCCAGGAAGCGAGTTCATTTTCCAGAAGATCTTACAGAGCCCAGAATGCGTCACACAGCACGGGACCACAGGGTAACTGAGGTTCATGGATCCGCTCTTTTATTTTAACCACAGTGCCACGGGGCCGCAGAGTACCTGAGGTGCATGGATCAGCTGTTTTGTTTTCTTGCAGTTGTGATTTCAGAGGTGGTGTTGCAGAGAATGAGCCCAGTAGGGATGGGTACAGGAGGTAATTGATTAAAAGCCAGCGTGAGAACAGTACTGATTGGATAGAGTGCAGTTAGGACATATTCAGATCGCAGAAGTGGACGCCATGTGCCACGTGGGGAGGTGATGCCAGGCCTTCCAGGGCGTGTTCAGATCCCAGAAGTGCACCCTCTGTGCCATGCGAGGACATGGAGCCAGGCCTTCCAGGGCATGTTCAGATCCCAGAAGTGGACCCTCTGTGCCACGTGGGGATGTGGAGCCAGGCCTTCCAGGGCACGTTCAGATCCCGGAAGTGGACCCTCTGTGCCACGCGGGGACGTGGAGCCAGGCCTTCCAGGGCACGTTCAGATCCCGGAAGTGGACCCTGTGTGCCATGCAGGGACCTGGAGCCTAGGCCTTCCAGGGTGCGTTCAGATTCCGGAAGTGGACCCTGTGTGCCACGTGGGGACGTGGAGCCAGGCCTTCCAGTGAGACTTAAGTCTTAGAACGTGGGCTGCGTGGCTGGAGTTTGGATTCATGGTGCTTCTGAGATGTCTAGTCTGCCTCCTAGCTTTCTGTGTAACTAACGGTTGTGCAGGGGATCTGCGTGCCATGACGAGACCACAGTGCCAGCTCCCAGCTCTGTGCCGGCTCGCTCTTCTGCGGCCCAGTCACCATTTTGTTCCATGGCACCTGCACATGTCATGGCAGATAGAGGTTGTGTGTTTATGTGTTCAGTTTTCTTACAGTTTCAGCCTCTTGGGAGAGTAATAATTGTGTTGTATTCATTCTTGTACCTTATATTCCCACTAAAATTCCAAGTAACGCTAAACTTAGTAAACTGTTAAATGAACAAACACCCCTAAACACATTATCTAGGTGCAATAGAATACCTGTCCCTTGAGGTATGTACAAATTTACACCTTCAGCCACTTGTATGATGAAAACTGGAATGTTTCTTTTTGAGGCTTCATAATTACGGTAGCTTTTCACCTCCAGAATGTTTTAAATGGTTGGTGAAATTAAATTGACATTGAACTTGATGCCTCCAACATATTTTACTAATGGAATAAATTACCTGAAAAGCCTGTTTTGCTTTTGTTTAGTGCCCTGCTTCCACAAACTGAAATACGCTTACTACATATTCTATGGTTCTTGTAAATTAGCAAGAGATAACTTATTTTAAAATGGTATTTATTTATGAATATGGGCACTTTAATGTAAATTGAAAACTTCGCAAAGTTAGGAAGATAACACAGTAGGCTTAAAGTTTGGAAGCTAAATTTGTAGACCAAGAAACCCAGAGCGGAAGTAATCCCAAGCAATCTGTGCCTGATTTGTTGATTGTGATCAGGGTGCTTCCTGATTGTAGAAGGTGGTTTTGCAGATAGCATGGTATCGCAATATTTAAGGAGTCAAAGCAGATCATCAGCCACCTGAAGCACTTTAGAAAATTTTTTGTAAAAATTTCACTAGACTTGTAATGACAGATGTCATGTAAAGGAGGTGTCGAATGCAGCCCAAGCAGATTCCTCACTGTGGAAGTACATTCTGCAGCAGCTGGTCAGTGTGATGTCAAATTTGACCTTCTTCCCAGTCTCTTCTGTCAGGCAAGCTTCTTTGTTGCCTAAACTAGCAGCGCTAAAACGTGGTGTATCATGGTGAGAGGTAACTGGCCTTTCTGCGTATTTCTGCTGCGCAGTGTGTGAGTTTGTATCATTCTACTAAAGCACTTGGGAGAAGCGAGCCTCCTTGATATCTTTCCTCCACTAACCGTTACAGACAAGAGTGGTGGGCCGCCTACCTGGGGTTAGGAAGGATTGTATCCATAGGGACACAGAATAATTTCAGTTTAGCATCTAGACTCAGTCAAGTGGAGAAGCACACGCACAGTGTTTCGAGATAGAATGGTAACTTTCCTGTTTTACTTATGCAAGTGCCTGTCATAATTTTCTTACCCATCTAGCTTAGATAGGCACTTCAGTAGGTCATTAGAAATTTTTCAAATTAATAGAATTATAGACACTTGTCAACATAATTCGTGTTTGAAAAATAAGTTCACCCTGAGAGATCAGAAGCCCTAAATGAGGCATCTGACCTGAACAGGGTAAAGTGTTTGGTGCCAGGTTTCCATGCTCTGTGTCTGCCCCTGTGAGGAAGCACCCAGGTCTTCACCATGTGCAGTGTGATGTAAATGCATCACAGATGCGCAATCTGTGTCTCCTGTTTTCTTTTTCAAGGATTTTTAGACCCCGAGAAGAAGCTTTTTTCTCATCGAATATTATCGAGGGATGAATGTATCGACCCATTTTCTAAAACAGGAAACCTTAGGTATGTACCCTGCCAAGTTCATTATAGAGACTACTCGCTGTGCATTGCCCATTTTAAAAATCGCATTTTGAGATTTAGAACAGTATTTTGTATTGGTGTTTTTTTTGGAATTTCCTTGTTAGCCTCAGAGTACTGAGAAAGTTCCTTTCTAACCTGTGCTCCTGCTGCCTCCCAGGCTGCCTGAGCCCTGGTGCCTGTACACGGCCCCCATGCAGGCTCTGCCAGTCCCGGCGGCCCTGCCCTGAAACCACCCTGGAGCTGGGCCTTGTGTCTGTGGAGGTGGGACTGTCATCCTCTCTGCCTCGTCTCTCTGTCAGACAGCACGCATTTGATGTCCGCCTGCCACCTGACTGTGTATCTGTCTGCTTAACCAGTCTTGGCGTGTGTAGTTGTTCTAGTCCCTTTAGCTTCAGATTTTCATTCCCATGCAAAGACCTGGCATTGAGATTTGTGGTTGGAGAGGCAGGAGGCAAGTGTGCATCCCCACAGGAGCTGGGTGTGAAGGATTTGGCCTTTTTGCCTCTGAGTATCCAGGGAATGGCCAGGCTCCTGGGGAACTCAGGGACTGACTTTCAGGCCCAGAACCCAGGAGGGCAGAGCACATAGGGACGCAGTGGACATCAGGGAGGCAGCAGCCATGAGGACCTGAGTGGGCAGAGGAACGTTCATGACTCCGTCCCATGTACAGGTTTGCAGTTTTGTGGGGCTGCTGGTTCAGGGGCTGTTCTTGATGTCAGCATTGGCGTCTGCAGTTTGTAATTTTCTTAGGAGCTTGCCTGTGTTAATCCTACTGATAATTTAGAAAACCCTAGGTCTCATGACCATTTTCCCATATTTTTACCTTTTGCCATTTCTTCCTTTCCATCAGCTCCAGAGTCCCTCCCCGTCAGCTCCTCTGAGCTTTTTTGACACGGCTGGCCCCTCTCCACCCCTACACAAGACTTTTGTATATTCTTTTATGTTCTTTGATGTTTCTTGCCCACTCTGTGAGGAACTTCCCCATTTCCACCCGGAAGTCCGTCCTGCTGCTGTGACACCATGGCAGGGGTGGCTTTTTCTCCCGAGGAGCCCTGGCAATCACAGCCTCAGCATCAGTCACTTCCTGGCTCATGGTGGCCACCTGCCTCTCAGCATTTTGGTTTTTAGATTTAGGGAGTCCACACAGACTCTGAGGCCTATGCAAGCTAGTGTTACCTAAGAAGAGAATCTGAAGGTATTTACTTCAAAAACAAACCACCTTTTTGCTAGTGTGTGCCAGAGTGAGCAGATTGATCAGAACAAAGAATGGGAGGTGGCTGTTAGTGATTTGTTAAGGAGAGTCAGCTGAAGACAGAATGTAGGATCGGATGGGGACGTGCCCAGCATAGGCCCTGGTGACAGACGCTGTGGCTTGCATGGAGGTAGCTTGAGGTCCACTTAGAAATCCTGTATTGGCAGTGGGTCTGTTTTGTTTCTAAGACAGGGTCTCGCTCTGTCACCCAAGCTTAAGTGCAGTAGTGGGGTCTTAGCTCACCACGACCTCGACTTCCTGGGCTCAAGCCATCTTCCTGCTTCAGCCTTCTGAGCGTCTGGGACTACTGCTGCCTGCTACCACGCCTGGATAATTTCTGTGTTTTTTGTAGAGACGGGGTCTTGCTTTGTTGCCCAGGCTGGTCTCAGACTCCTAGGCTCAAGCTTTCCTCCCACCAAGACCACCCAAAGCTCTGGAAATTACAGGAATGAGCCACACTGCACCTAGCCTGGTCTGTTTTCAAGAGTCAGCACATTCTGGCCTTTAGGCTACCCAGCCTTGTTTGTACATGAAGTTTTATTGGAACATGGCTGCACCCACACGGTCAGAGTTGGGTTTTGTCCCTGTGGCTGGCCCATAATGCCTGAAGTAGTGACTCTGGTGCTTTAAGAAACAGTTTGAGAACTCCTGCTTGAAGGAGAATCGGAAACAGTGGGGAAGATGTTAAGGAGGTTTAAATGTGACCCAAACCGAAAGGGCTTCGGGCCAGTTGGCGTCCATTTCTGATTAACCTGCTGTCTGCTGGCTGCATGTGGATTCAAGTCTTAAACTGTTAAGCTTGGCAAAGTGAATGACTACAGCTTTTCATTATTATTTTTGTAAATTATGCATTTTTGCTTGTAGAAATCTCTTTCCTTGTGGAGACTCAATGGTTTGCATTATTGATGACCGAGAAGATGTCTGGAAGTTTGCCCCCAATCTGATAACTGTGAAGAAATATGTGTACTTCCAGGGCACGGGTGATATGAACGCACCCCCTGGGTCCCGGGAATCTCAGACAAGAAGGAAAGGTGGGTAACCTGCTTCCTGATTCTTTAGAAAGAATTTGCATTTTATTTATTGTTTATCTCTTCTCATTTCTTATCTCTATTTTGACTGCTGTAAATTCAAGATGCACTTTGGTTTTGTTTATTTGTATTTCAATAGAGATTATTGGATTTATTTATATAGTACTGAAAAACAGGATATTATATTGTTTCAATTTGGGCCTTAAAAAAAAATGGCCCTAACTTAAACATTTTCCCAGTTGAATAAAGACTCAAGAATGCTGTTTACTTAATACATCTGAACAGCACCTTTCATCCCAGTTTTCCTTAAATGTACCCCTGGGCATTCGGCCATGGCATTCTGTAGAGAGCGCAAATGTGGGGTGCAGTGGCTCCACGGGGAGGAACCGTTGCCAGTACACGGTAGTCAGGCTGGGCGTTGGCCAGGGCCCCAGAGAGCAGTGTGGTTTAACATGTCAGGCAGGCCTGCAGCTGGCGTTCACCCTATGAAAAGTTAAGTGTTTTTGATGTTTATTTTTTAAAAAAGTATTTTGAGGCATGCATTTACTGCTGTAGTCACTAAAATGGAACTTGGAGGTTAAGACCAGGAGAGAGTGGAACTGGTGGAGACTCACCGGATGGATGGGGTCAGCGTGGAGTTGCCAACATCCTCCAGAGCGGGGCTTGATAAACCGTGGCCGTAGGGCGCCAGGTCTGCAGCACAGAGCTGGGAGGCAAACCTCCAGCGGTTCCTGTAGGAAGAGGATCCCTCATCCCCAAAATCCAAAACTTTCTGAGTGCCCACATAGTGCTCAAAGGAAATACTCATTGTGGCATTTTGGATTCTTCAGATTTGGGATGTTCAACTGTTAAGTTTAATGCGAATACTCCAAAATCAGAAAACAAATTCGATATCCAACACGTCTCTGGTCCCATGCACTTTGGGTGAGGGGTACTCAGCCCTCCCGGCTCTGCACAGCACCTTTGCCAAGGCCTGGTCTGGAGGGTGACTGAGAGCTCCCAGCCGTGGAGAAGGGTGCTGCTTTACCTTTGAACATTGTTTAATGTTTAATGCTAAATTGTGGTAACCTTTCCTTTTGCGTGCATGTTTAGTAAATCATTCTTCTCGAGGCACCGAGGTCTCAGAGCAAGCCGCGCCCGTAAGAGACCATGAGAGGGGAACACAGGCCCCTGGAGTGGAGCCCAGCAACGGCCTCGAGACGCCAGCGCGGGAGCTGAACGGCAGCGAGGCTGCCGCCCCGCAGGACTCACCCCGCCCTGGGAAGCCAGATGAGAAGGACGCCTGGCCCCCTGCCCAGGCCTCCTCTGGCAGCCAAGAGCTGGCAGGCGCTCCCGAGCCCCAGGGATCCTGTACACAGGGTGGCCGGGCAGCACTGGGACAGCGGCCTGCCCAGGGTGCCATGGGCACTGACCTGGACTTCGACCTATCCAGTGACAGCGAGAGCAGCAGTGAGTCTGAAGGCACAAAGTCCTCCTCCTCTGCTTCTGACGGTGAAAGTGAGGGGAGGAGAGGCCGACAGAAGCTGAAGGCTGCCCCAGAGGGAGCCGAGGTGCTGGTGCAGGGCAGGCCCCTGGAGGCAAGCCGGCCTGCAGGGCCAAGTTCCCCTGGAGAGGCCGAGCCCAGCGCACATGTCCCGGACAAGGGGCCTGAGCTGGGTGGGCAGGAGGAGGGTGAGCGGGATAGCCTCTGCGGCCTGGGCAACGGCTGTGCCGACAGGAAGGAGGCGGAGACTGAGTCTCAGAACAGCGAGCTGTCGGGCGTCACAGCGGGCGAGTCCCTGGACCAGAGCATGGAGGAGGAGGAGGAGGAGGACACGGATGAGGATGACCACCTCATCTACCTGGAGGAGATCCTGGTCCGTGTGCACACCGACTACTATGCCAAGTACGACCGCTTCCTCAACAAGGAGATCGAGGAGGCGCCGGACATCCGCAAGATCGTGCCGGAGCTCAAGAGCAAGGTGCTGGCGGACGTGGCCATCATTTTCAGTGGGCTGCACCCCACCAACTTCCCGATAGAGAAGACACGGGAGCATTACCACGCCACAGCGCTGGGAGCAAAGATCCTCACTCGGCTGGTGCTGAGTCCCGATGCCCCTGACAGGGCCACGCACCTGATCGCCGCACGGGCTGGTGAGTGCCGCCTCCCTCCCCACACCCTGGGCGTGCATGGTCAGGCCAGCAGGCTCCTTGCCAGCACGCCTTAAGAGTTGGCATTGCTGTTTATCTCACGTTCAATTTTCAGAAACGTTTTCCAGAATCACCATCTTTTAAGAATAGATTTTGACGTTGGGTGAAATTCAGGTTCGGGCACGTTCGTGCTTTTGGACCACAGTCATCCGCACACCGTGCCAGGCGGCAGGAGTTACCTGTGTGGGGGACAGACAGTTAGAACCTCCTCCCTGGAGTAAGAACAGGGAATCAGCAACGGGGCGCAGTGGAGATACTCCAGGCAGGAACAGGAGGTGGGGCCTTCAGTTCACAGGTAAAAGGTCGACAAACCCTCCGAGTTAGAAAACCAAGTGCAGGGTTCAGCTGAAGCGTGCACAGAAGGACGTGTTGTGGCTGGAAGAGCGGAGGACGGGCCTACTGTCCCCAACGGTGAAACCTGCCCCAGGCAGGACAGGCTGCTCTGCCGTGTTTGAAACTTCCACCAAGTAAAACAGAACCTTTCTGTTTAGGTGAATCTTGAAGGCTCACACCTCGTTGCTTAAAAACCCAAATACCTAGTTATTGTGTTAAAATACTCCCATAAGCACTTTGATCCTTCCCAAGTGAAGGTTGCCTGAACCCCCTCACGTTCTGCTCCTCCAGTCGCAGTTTCTCTCCTGGCCACGTGTCCTGAGAGGGCTTTTCAGTGCTTGGCCCTGCCTCCATGGCTCCGGCGGCTGTAGGGTGAGCTCATCCCCGGCCACGCAAATGCTCCCTGACATTTGAGGTCACGCCTCCAGCACGCATCATGTGGCGTTGGACAAGCATGTACTCAGTAAAGCATTTGAATCAAGGGTGAATGGAAGGTTCCATCTCGGTGTAAAATAGCTGGGTGCTAGCTGCGGGTGGACACAGGCTTTGTGAGTCCCAGGAGGAAGCCAAGCCCCGGCCCCGTGGGCAGTCAGGCCCTTTGTCTCCTGACCATGGAGCCGAGACAGGCTGGGGCCTCCACGGCCCCTCGAGTGCCTGTCTGCCATGCTCCATATTTGCCCAACTCCTGACCCTCCTCTCACTTTCCTTCCTTCCCCAAATCGTGCTTACATTTCCGTTTTGCTTCCATGTTCATGGCCTCACTGCTGAGGGCTTTCCTGAACACATGTTAAAGGGTCGTCCTGCCGCTCACGTCACCCACTGTGCCCAGCTCCCTGTCCAAGATCTACCCTTCCCGTTCCAGCCTGACATGTCTATCCCTTCCCACCATAGCTGCTGATCCCTGGCCTGGGAGGTGGGCATCTGTGACGGGCAGCCCTAGTGGGGTGCAGCTGGGTGAGCACCCTGAGCCTAACTCAGCCCGGTCTCCTGCAGGCACAGAGAAGGTGCTGCAGGCACAGGAGTGCGGGCACCTGCACGTGGTCAACCCTGACTGGCTGTGGAGCTGCCTGGAGCGCTGGGACAAGGTGGAGGAGCAGCTCTTCCCGCTCAGGGACGACCACAACAAGGCACAGAGGTGGGTGCCTACCAGTCCCTGCCAGGCGGTCCCTTATCGGGTGGCTGTTGCTTCACATGCCTGGGCAGTGCCCGCTGGGAGTACCTGCATGCCTGCCCTGCATCGCCCGGACATCCCGCTCACGGTCCTTGTTCTCTTCCTCCTACAGGGAGAACAGCCCCGCGGCCTTTCCCGACCGGGAGGGTGTGCCCCCCACTGCCCTGTTCCACCCGATGCCAGTTCTTCCCAAGGCCCAGCCTGGCCCCGAGGTTCGAATCTATGACTCCAACACGGGGAAGCTCATCAGGACGGGTGCCCGGGGGCCCCCAGTGCCCCCCAGCTCCCTGCCCATCCGCCAGGAGCCCTCCTCCTTCAGGTACATGGCAGCCCAGCCACAGCCCCCAGCTAGTGAGGGCTCATCCAGCTTGCTGCTCTGGTCTGTTAGGGGAATGGCACCAGTTGCCTGAAGTGAGGGCGGGTGGAGGCTGTGGCCTGTGACTCCACTTCCACCTCGTGGGAACCCACCCCCGCTTGCACTCTTGGGTCTTTTGTTTTTCTGTCCTCTCTTTGGTCCCGAAACTGAAACAAAACCCCCACAATTAGCTTCTCAAATGTGTCCAGGCACCCACATGTGCACAGCTTGTGGCCGCCCCACAGAGCACTCAATGGAGAACAGGCAGAGCGGGGCTGGTTCTGAGCCCCCCCGCCTCACCGTCTGCTCTCTGCCGGCTCCCTGTTTGCCACCCTGGGCCGCCCTCTTTCGTTTCCACACAGAGTAGGCACAGGGGTGGTACCAGTGGCGGTTGGAAGGGAAGCTTGATTGGACTGGAAGGCGTTGGTAGCCAGGATCTGTGCTGCCCAGGGGAGGGGAGATGACAGGTTCTGAGCATGTGGCCTCTGTGCCTGTTTTCCTGAGATCGGCTTTCAGCCTGAGCTTGTGGCCCCTGCAGACACCACGTAAATGGCTGTGGGATGTTCTTGGAGATTTGAATGAGGAGTTTTTGTACTGTGGTTGTTGCTTTGAAATTAAACCAAAAGTTTGACTTGATTAAACTTGACCCGGGCAAGGGACACTCGCCAGGGTCTCGTGTACGTTCGCCCCGGGAGCCCTGTGAGGGTTCAGAACACCTCAGATCCTCTGTGCAGAATGCAGGCTGCTAGAGGGAAACATGCACACAGTTAATAGGTGGAGAGGTACCACTTGGTGTCCTTTGTGAGCCCTTCAGGATCCAGCACTGTCCCTGCGTGGGGACACTGAGGCCCAGAGTGCAGGGCCCTCCCAGGTCAGGGGAGCAGGAGAGGCCAGAGCACAGTGGGTGGCAACATTCTGAACCAGAAGCCTGGGTGGACAGGCAAGGAGGACCCCGCCAGGCACCACGGCAAAGCCCAGTCAGCTTTCGGGAGAGGCCACTCCGCCTGGAAACATACTCTAGTGCCTCCTGGGTTTTCTGTCTCATAGACTGTGTTCTGTCTAGAGCACAGTGTGCGCCTCACAGCCCTTGGGTTCATGGGGGGGAGTAATGCTAAGAGGAGGAGGAGTCGAGTGACTGGGTGGTGGGCAGGTGCAGGTGCAGGTGCAAGGTGGCCATGGGCAGCTGGCCAGCACGGGTGGCCTCCTGTGTAGCAGCCTGGCAATGCTGTGGGACCTGGGGCCGGCAGGGGTCAGGTTAGGATGAATTCGAGGTTCTCCATTTTCATGACAGGTAAGAGGATCCCCAGCCATATAGAGATGTTGTCACCTCCCATCATTAGGAAGGCATCATGGTGATGACGTCACCTCCCATCATTAGGAAGGTGTCCGGGTGATGACGTCACCTCCCATCTTTAGGAAGGCATCCTGGTGATGTCACCTCCCATCGTTAGGAAGGCTTCCTGGTGATTACTTCACCTCCCATCATTAGGAAGGCGTCCTGGGGATGTCACCCTCCCATCGTTAGGAAGGAGTCCTGGGGACATCACCTACCATCGTTAGGAAGGGGTCCTGGGGACGTCACCTCCCATCTTTAGGAAGGCATCCTGGTGACGTCACCTCCCATCGTTAGGAAGGCATCTTGGTGGTGGTGTCATTTCTGGTCTTTAGAAGGGCTTCCTGTGTGGGCTTGTTGGGGTTTTAGTACAGTGTCCACTTTCTTTTTTTTTTTTTTTTTTTT